AGAGTATCCAGGATGATGACAGCTCCGAACAGCCAGAAGCTGAGGCTGAACCCAAGAGAATGCGGAAAAAGGAGGTACGAAGGAGAGTGAAACAAGCTGCCCAGCAGGCCAAAGAAGAGGAACGGAGACGTCGGGATGAAGAGAAAGGTGCACTCAAGGCATTCATCGATCGCTTGTCCAAGCAGAGCTTTCGAACGGCTCGTCTGTTTGCCTTGCTTATCTTCAGCTTCTTCAGGGCACTTTTACTTCCAGTCTGGATTTTGCTACTAACACTACAATACGTCCTAATAACCGGCTTTCTTGCACTCATGGATATCCACCTTTCCCGAGAAGAGTCATCGCCAAAAGCACGTTCAACACAAGAGAAGATACCCCCTTTCAAACAAGCTTGGCGAGTATTAGGCCTTGACACCATCTCGTTCCTACGACGCAGGCGAAATCGGGGTAAGCCATCGGGATCATCCGACGAATCCACACCCGAAAGATTCCCATCTACAAGTAGAGTGTCGCTGAAGGAATCGAAGCCCACCACTACTGCTCCCGCTGAGCATTCAGGTTCAGACCATCTCGAAGTACACCCAATGTCTGGGGGTGCAGCTGGAGCAAACTATGAGATATCGACGTTTGCAGAACAAGCCGGTCAGACTGTCACGATGAGAAGGATAACGCGGGCTGTTAATTATGCTAGTCATGGGAGAGGTTATATCCCAGGGGATTATGAGCGGGCTGAAATGCCTAGGCCACCAGCGCTTCCTGATGAAGGAGATGGGGGCGAAGTATGATACCCGCAACAGGCATTCGTTACGTAGGTGGAAACTTGCTCCTAGTAGGGGTTGCATGGCATGGTACCTGCTTCTATTGTGGTCGGGTTTTGGTCTAACTTCCTTGGAAGGTGGGTTGAGCGTTTAAGATATCCGGTTCTGCGAAATATTATTAGCTCTTCATTTACATTCCATAAGGGAGCATAGATAGCCATGCCCCTCCTCTCCAAAGATGAAGTTTCCGGTCGCTAGCTATCTCCTTGCATCGCGGAAGCCGACAACGCGGGCAGATGAAAAATAATCCCAGGGAATGGTAGATGAAAATCGACGTATATAAATCACATCAGAGTTTTCTTAGTGCTAGTGATTTGGCCAGACTCCCAACCTAAGATATACCCAACGATCTCCCCTCGTCTGTTGGCTGTCGATCTCTAAGAATTAAATGAAGTTGAACAGAGTCTGGATTCGTGTTGCTGCAGATGTCATGCAAGCGACTTCTCCGGGGGAAGGGTTTTAATCGCAAGAAAGAAAGCACGGGAACAAACAAAAAATAGGCTGATCCCATCCAGATCGCGCGGGTTGTGTTGAGAATCAGAAATCCCTCTTTCTCACTTTCTTTCGCTCTTCTTACTTCTTAACTCTTCAACTCTTTAAACAACTCTTAATCTCACTCTCATCAACTCACTCACTTCATTCCCCCTCTTCTGAGTTCACAGAGACCCATCGGCATCAACCGCTTAACCGCCCGCTGAACCCTGAGATCAACAAGTTCGAACTTTAACCCCACCAGCTCCTTCGATCTCGACCTTCTCTTCCTTGCCCGCATCTCTCTCGCTTCTTTTCTCGTGTGATCTCAAGCTTCGTTTTGGCGATAAGTGACATGCTTAGATAATCGACATCTCACTCTCGCTTGCTCTCACTCTCTATCTATCTATCTGACCCCGACCTCTTAATACACGCGCGAGGTCTCTTTTAAAGAAAGCACGAAAGAGCCTTATCCGTATATTTCTACCGTGTTTTCAAAGGGATATACTTACACCCTCGACACCATTAATAAAAAGGAGCACACACCATCCAACCCTACACCTCCTCAAGCTTTCCCGCTCTCATCCGTCCCATCCTATCTATCTAAGCTCCCCCCTCCCCCTTTAAAAATGAAAGGTCTCGACTCGGGCCAATCAAACCTACTCGAAAAAACCCCCGACGCCATCCCCTCCGGCCCCATCGACCTCGAAGCCAATGGCCTCTACATCGTCATCTCCAACCTAGGCTACGACCGCCTCTTCCACTGGGGTCTCTACCTCGCAACATCCCCCAACGAAGGCCTAATATACCACCTCGTCGGCCAAGTCTCCATGGAAGAAACATGGTACTACCGCGTGAAGTACTCCACAGGCGTCCCACTGGGGAACCAACTCCTCCTCGCCTTCAAGATCGGGATGCTCGACCCCGCGCTGCACGAGCCCATGGCTCAGCGCCTCCTCGACGTTCCTCAGGGGTACTCGACCCGGTTTGGGGGACGGGTTACGAGTCGGATCTGGGTCAAGGAGGCGCTGTATCTTCTTGATCAGGAGGGGTTTTTGAAGCTTACGGCGGAGGTTGATGAGATTGAGGCTGAGGCTATAGATCTTGCGGCGTGGAATCAGCCGCGGGCTGTGAGGACGGTTGCGGAGTCGACGAATATCATCATGGACAAGTTATGAGCTAGATGGCTGGTATGTTCTTTTGCCACCGCTACCTGTTCATGGGAAGGCAGGCTCACACAACTCGAAACGTACGCAGAGCTGGTGCTCCGGAGGTAGTTCCAACTACCCTGTCGAACTGGCATGACATCATGGACTTTTTGGAATTTTTCTTTTATACTACTATGAGCTCTCATACCTTGGAGCCCGGGGTTTCATCACGATTATTATTATTATTATTATTATTTGGGAACTATTGCTTCAGGGCTATGGATATGGATATGGATATGGATATCTTTTACGACTGCGACGACTTTCTAACGGATTTTTTGGGAAAAAGCGGGCTCCTTTCTTCTTTTTTTCGTTTGTCTTCTTCTTTGGGCCATCGATTTCAAACATTTTCGTTTCTCCTTTTTTTTTAATGAATCTACTACATACTACGGTACGAATAGTATCAGGAATGAGAATATTAATACCTTCTTTCGGGGAATAGCTGCGTCTTGTTTCTTGGATATTGTTCCTTTTCTGGAAGGGTTCCGGGTTTCATAGCGGATCCTTCCGCCTAGCTGTTAAACATAGCGTTTCAGGAGCTGCTTGAAATAAGAGTCCTAGTTCCTGGTGGAAGTCATATCAGCCAGGCACAGGAGAGCTCATATGAGCCTGCCTCTCTGATCGTCCTATCTCTATCTGTCCAAGGCATCAGAAACGGATAGAAGCAGCAGATGATCAGCAGGAGGGAAGTGAGTGAGTGTCCCACATTGCATCCGTGCCGTCGCATGATATGTATGTAACCGTATGCGGTGATATGTTTCTTGGTGTATATCTGGAACTTGGAGCTGTCCTTCTGATCTTTCCTGTTCCTGTTCTTGTATTTGCGAGATGAAGATGCCAATTTACTTGTCACAGGAGATAAGGTACTTAGTACCTACGTACCTGACGACTGAGAGGTATGTATGTATGTATAGTTCTGATACATCGAGTTCGACGTTCTAGAAAAATCAAACTCGATCTCATCGCACACACATACATACATACACATTCGCAAAAAAATATTATCGAGCTCCCTCCTCGGACTTCTTCCTCTCTTTTTAATATTTTCAAGGATAGAAAATATTCATCCAATGAACACGCGCCAGTTAAACATACCAGGATAAGCAAGCAAGCAAAAGAGGAGAATATTGCGAAAAGATCGGACAAATTAGAAAGAGAGAAGAATGTCGGGAATCAGGCTGATTTATGAGGGGCTGGCTGGCTGCTGGCTGCTGGCTTATCTGCATGCGTAGCAGTTTGATCTGACCTGGCCGAAGGTATGCGCGCGAGAGAGGAGGATTCTTGCTTGCTTGGTGGAGGTGTATCTTGATTGTTGGGCCGTACCCCAGAGTGTGTGCCTTTGCTGAAGGCGGACCTGTCGTTGAAGAGCATTATTCATATCCTCCTTCCTCGCCATCCTCCTTGTATCAAAAGTTCGGTGAACGTTTCTCACCTCGTGTTTTCTTCCCAGCCTTCTTTTTTTTTCCCTGCTCTTCTGTCTTCCCCTCAAGGATGATCTGATCCGCGCTTTTCTCCGGGTCCCCGGTCGCTCATCATGCGCCATCAATCGACCGCCAACGCAACCCTGACAACCCTGACAGGATTTTTTTTTCGCTTCCCATCCCATCCCCATCCCATCCATTCTTCGATTCTCCGGCATTCGCTGGAAAAAGAGAAAGTTCTCGGCGAGTCGAACCCCTGCATAGCTTCAGGATTTTTTCTTTCGTTCCTTTTTTTTTCTTTTGTTTTGGTTTTTTTTTGATGTGCTCAGTGCTCACCCCGCCGAAAAGAAAGCCAACGATATTTGGGGTTGTTCGACGTTCTCATGCCACAAGGCAAGGCAAGGCCCAAGGGGCATGAGTGGTGCTCAACCATGGCTCTGTTCGCTTTCGCTTCAAGCGCCACTAACGGATCCATGGGATTGCCGAGGAGGGAACCAGAAGGAACTTTTCTCTGGTTATTTTACTTTGCGGGTTGGTGTGGAGTTCTGACTTTTTATTATTATTTTATTTTGCTTTGCTTGTCCTTGACGTTTTTCGCCAGGGATGAGATCATTGTAAGGATGATTGTTCCTCCGTATATGAGCACACGATCGCTTGAAGCTGAGATGAAAGGAAAGGAGCAGGAGGAAAGGTACGAGTAACTCAGAGCTTGAGGACGCCTGAAGTAGAAGATCGGACAGGTCGCGAGATTTACCAGAATCTAACATGAGACTCGAGGACCGATTCCTTTCAGTTCTCTCACTGCGTCGCACGTGCATCTAAACTGAGTATTGACTTATTTTTTCTGTCTCTTATACAACGAATATGGGGTTATGGCCAAGCTGGGAAGGCGTCCGTCTGAAGTAAATTCAGATGTCAATTTCGTTAACGGAAGATCCCCGGTTCGAACCCGGGTGACCCCATCGCTATTTTTTTTTAATTTTTTTTTCCAATTTTTTTTTTTTCAAATCATTATCTAATCTGTCTTTCTCTTCAGCTTTTTTCTTAAGTGCTTACAATTCCACCCTTTTTGTAAGAACAAATACGGGGTTATGGCCAAGCTGGGAAGGCGTCCGTCTGAAGTGAATTCAGACCTCAATCTTGTTAACGGAAGATCCCCGGTTCGAACCCGGGTGACCCCATACCTATTTTTTTCTTTTTTTTCAATTTTTTTTTAAATCCGAGAGAACCTGATCATCGCTCGGTTTCTCAGATCTCAGATCTGACTTTTTATTATTATTTTTTCACCTCGCCCTTGACGTTTTGGCCAGGGATGATATCATTGTAAGAGTGATTATTTCTTCGTATGTATATGAGCACACGATCTTCTTGAAGTTGAGATGAAAGAAAGGAAGCAGAAGAAAAGAAAGATGCGAGTAATTCAGAGCTTGAGAAGATCTGAAGCAGATGATCGAACAGATCGCGAGATTTATCAGAATCTAGCATGAGTTTTTGTACTTTGAAACTTTTGGGTATTCGTCGCCATCCCTTCCCTCGTGACGCTTTTTCCAGATCTTGACGGCCATATAAAAGATGTGCTTGAAGAGGGAATACTTGACATCTTTAAAGCTGGAATCAGTAAACAGCGTGTGTCTCTAGTTGTGTATCATAAAAATAAGTGAGATCTAAGAATATGTCGTATCATCGCACCCTGCAATCCCCCATCGTCATGGTCACCGCAGAAGCCACTTTTAATTTAATTACCTTTTTTTACTTTTTCCCCCCAAAGTCAGGCGCGGTCAACCCTCCACCTTCCTTCTGCACGGGTCGTCTCTCTCAACTCACCTCCACAACATCCTCAGCTTTCCACTCCCTTCACTTCCCGCGTTTGCCTCCAGACACCGAACTCTGCCCCCCCCCATCGGCTCTCATGTCTTTTCGGCTAGGAATGATCCGATCGGCTTCAAAGCTCGATACTATCCCCTCGTCCTAAAATAATATACATACATACCTCCTAGCTAGATTCTCCTGAGCAAACATGGAACCTCAGCGCCCTCCTCACGAGCGCTTCATCCGCCCACCCTCCTACGGCGGTCCTCCTCCCCACGACCCGCGAAACAACAACTCAGCACCTCCTCCACCGCGACCGTATGGACCTCCGTCCTCCGTTCCTCCCGGCCGATCGCAACCGCCCTTCGACCCGTTCCGTCGCGCTGAGAGCGAAACGCAACAAAGTCGAGCTCCTGCTCCCCTTCCTCCTTTCGGATACTCGATGCCACAACACCACCAGAAACCTCTGTCACCAGTACCATTCCCACCTCCTCCTCATGGCGAAACTCCGGGCGCGTACCATTCTCGACAGTCGAGTCACGACTCGATGAAACAGCATAGTGATGGAGGAGTGAAGGATTATAATAACATGTACCGAGAAGGTAGGCTACCTTTTTTTTATCTTTCTTAAAGTCTTTAAACCACCCGTCGCATCCTCCCGACGACGGCGTTGAGCTCCCCTTTCTCCCCGTCAGCCTTGAGAGAGGTCAGATTGGTCATAACCTTGTCAACTTCTTCCCACACAACATCATACGTCGTGCTAGGAGCCTTGGAGCGGACGGGGTCACACAGAAAGGCAATCCTGAACCATCCCATTGTGGTCTGATCGAATGATTACCTTTTGTTTGTTTGTTCCGAATCTAGAGCTTTGGGGTAAGAACGAAAAAGTCAACGCCACAGCTTCAAAGTTCAGCACTAGCCACAAGTGGCTGATGATCGGCTCTCCCTTCGGAAAGGCTAACTGCTTTAAGCTTTAAGCGCTAATCTGTTCCTGGACTAGCGGATTTGCTTGTTCGGACCCCCGTGCATTGTGTTCCCGTGACCGCCTTTTGTTTCCTTTTTCGTTCTTTCTTGTTCGTGTCGTTCAAGTCTTTTGCTGACGACCTTCTTCTTCATCGGTTTATTAAAGGTCATTCGCATCAACTACCGAGAGACATGTCACATATGTCACATCTTAATGATCAATCGCGAAGACAGTCTTTAGGAAGCAGTGGGAGTCCTCCGTTGTATCCTCCCGGTATGTGCAGTCTTCCTTTTCTAACCGCGACGACTCCCCCGAATCAGCTATTCCGAGAGCTGTTGTTACCCCATCGAACAATTGGTGCTATGATACTCGATACTACTCGGTTATTTATCAATTGGATTGGGGTCCTCGGCTTTTTCTGGCCTGCTGACCCGCTGTTGCATGGTTGACTAACTTGAAACGGTCGCGAATAGGTTCCCACGACCACCCTTCCTCGTCGCATTCATACGGGAATCGACAAATGCTTCCGCCAACCTCACCACCACGCTATCCACCACATGGAGCGCCAGCGCCGCCTCCTCCACCCCCTCCTGCACCTCCTTCCTCAATGACGCCACGCGAACCACCGCTTTCGGGGCATCGGCCGGGTAGTAGCATGTCCATATCTTCAGTACTAGGTTCAGATTCGGATCGACCCCCTCGAGACACGGGCTCTGCTTCGGGGTATATTCGCTCTTCCGTACCAGCTACGTCGATGTCGTCTGGCCCATCTGGCCCACCATCAGCCGGAGGAGCAATGTCACCCCCAAATATGCCACCACGCCAATCCTCAGATTACCTTCCTTTCCAGGGTTCCAACGCGTCCGATAAAACCCCCATTTCTAAATCACAACCACCTCGACAATATCGATCGAGTTCAGGGGGGATACCACAGGCACAAGGACCGTCGGAAAGCTCGAGAATGGGAGGCCCGCCACCCGCGCAACCCTTCTCTCACTACGGAGAGAAACCAACCGATCGTTCGCCTTCCACCCAATACCCAGAGTCACCTTACAACCAAGCCCGTCGATTGAGTCTTAACGGACCGATTCAGCGACCAAATAGTCAGCCACCACCAGAAGAGTATCCAAACCCAGGTGGACTTTTCAGACCGCATTCGAGGCCAACGCAGGGCCTAGGGGACACCCATTTGAATGGGGGACAGCGTCCGGAGTCAAGGTACCCCGATACTCAGCCACAGCACAGGTACAGTGGTTCGTACCCGGAACGACAATCTCAGGAAGCTATGAATCGCGATAAGGGAGGTCCTGGGCCTCAAGATATTGGATCTAAGCACCATCAACCTCACCCTCAGTCGCGATTCGGTTCACAATTCCCGGAACGTGAGTCCGAGAAGCCACGCATGCCTTGGGATTCTACTCCTTCACAGCCAGCCTCTCCCGAGTCGAAGCGATCATCTACTGCTGGACCTGGGGCAAACTTCGGGTTAAATCAGTCTCAGGATTATAATAAGCCTCCTGGATCGCAACCTGGAACCTCTCGACCCTCAGCGGGTTTAATGCCCCTGGCCAGACAAGGGCAGCCCACTCCACCAAACGAAGGATCTTTCTTGAACAACGCGCTTAATAAACTCCACCAGCAACAACGCTCATTATTCTCTCCCACCTCTGCTCCATCTGGAGCCCAACAGTCTTTCGGAAGTTCAACCAGTGCTGACGACCAACAACGGAAGGGGAGTGATGAGTTATTACATCATCGGAATTTATTGAATATCAACGCTGAGAATAAAAGAGCTGGAAGGCTTTCACCCCTTCCGCAAGCTGTTCAGGGCGCGCAAGCTCAGCCCGCAGGTCCTACTGGAGAACCAGGGATTAAGAACGAACTGGGTCGAGTTTTCTCTGGGATTGGAAGTGGAGTTGGAGTTTCTGCACCTGGTCAGGTTGGGAGTGGGCCTTCAACGCCTGTTACGGCGAGTCCGTTTAAGAGGGATGATGCGATGGTTCGGTCGGCTAGTGGAGGTATAAATGATGGCGCGATTCCGAAGAGAGCGGCTTCCGGTACCGGAAAACGTGGAAGGAAGCCGAAAGATGAGGAGAGTAAGGATGGTTCTGAAAATGGTGGGACACAACGTACATCTGGTGCACGGGGTGGTCGGAGAGGTCGACATGTGCACCATCACCATCACCATGGTCACCAGTAAGCATACACCATTTTGCGATTAGTTTATTGATAATGACTAACATTTTGTCACAGCCATCACCACCACCGACGTAAGCCAGAGGACGAAGTCAACGACAGTGCTCAGTCTCGGAATGCCTTACTGTCGGCCCCAAGTTTCCCAAGGACATCCACTCCTTCGGATATTGCTGCTGGTGTTTCCGTCGCACCTGCTCCCCATCACCACCACCACCATCATCACCATCATCACGTCCCTCGAACTTCGTCTACCGTCAATAGCTCGCTACCACCACCTCCACCTCCACGAGAGCATAATAAGGTAGTTAATCTACAACCACTCCTCAAAAGTGTTGCCCATCTCCCACGGCAACACTTGGGTTCTACGCTCTATTCTCCCAAGATAGGCATGCCTGCGGCTGGCGCCAGCCACGAAAGCGCGAAATTCGGATATACTTCGACTCCAGTACCTATCCCCCGATTCGAAGGGAAGGAAAACTGTACTTTTACCATCAGAGTCCCGCGGTTCCGCATCGATCGTAGCCATCGGGAAGAGGTCTGTGCTCGTAGAGCGATCTGGGGTACGGGTGTATACACAGATGATTCCGACCCAGTAGCGGCTGCTATCCATTCGGGCTTTATTCGTGGTGAATGGGGTGAGGATGTTGATATCTCTATGTTGGATCTAGAGATCAAGGAGCAATACCAACATGCGCCCCAAGCTATGGGTCTTAACGGAACCAGCACTCAGCAGGATGGTAACGATTTGAAAAGCGAAGCGAAAATACCACCTGTCCCGCCCGCCAACAAAGATCTCCACATTACCCTCCTTATATTGCCACCGCTTCAACGGTACGATTCCGCTGTTCTCTTCGGCCTTAGGTCTCGATCTTGGGGCGCTAATCATGACGGAATGAGCTTCAAAGTCGAGCGAATCGACTGGGTTGATGAAGGCGTCGCCAAGGGCGAGGAGAGAGGTGGTGAGGCACGACGAAAGCGGTTACGCAGCATGATGAGTTCTGGCAGAATAGCCACCGGGGCTGGGATGAAAGGCAAAAGCGGTATCGAAATACGACAGAAGAAGAGAGCTATGGGGATAGGTAACAGTTCGAGCGATGACAGTGCGAAAGCTGTCGAGACTGCTTCTTGAGGTATATCCTTATCTTATGACCGGTTCTTCATTGACAAGCCTTGTTTGTTTGTGTGCTTTTTCCTGAGCTTTTTTCTGCTAAT